GAAGCATGCCAAGTCTCGCTTCCCTGAAAATGCTCCTGAGGATGTCTATGCTACTTCTGACGATGAGGACTTTGAGCTGGAGCCAGGGGCCAAGCCCTCGTGGGTGGCCAAACTCACTGCCAAGGTGAAGAAGACCTTTTGTCTCCAGGCTGACATCCAGAAGAAGATGTATGAGGCACATGTCAATGAGAAGCTTGCACGACGTCGCCAAATTGCAATGATGAAGCACCTCAACATGCCGGTTCAGAGTGGCTCTGAGATGAGCATCACCCCAGAGGAGCGTTGGATTTCCACCCATAGCACCTGGACTGATGATGAAGCCCCTCCCCGGCCATCCTCCTTGTTTGCAGCAGCTGACAATGCCATGGAAGAATCCGATCACAACGACGATGACGACTCTGATGATGAGGATCCAGATGCGACCGAGGAGTCAGAGGAGGACGCCTGAGCTTTGGGACGCTAGCTTCGCTCTTTTCCTTTTTGGTGTTTTGATGCCAAAGGGGGAGAGGGTTCTATAGGTTTCGGGGATTTGCATGCATGGGTTTTTTCCTTTTTTTCTCGTGTTTTAGTGTCGGTCTTTGTTCGTGGACTTGTTTCGTTCCTTGCCGTGTGTGAGACTTATGTTACTCCTCTTACCTTTTCGTTCATCGGTCTTTTTTGTTTTTATTGCACTCTAAGTATTATATTGTCTCTCCTTTTTGTGCTCAGGGTGGTGAGTCTATAAAATCTAGGGGGAGTCTAGTCCTATAAGTGTGCCCATGCTTTCTAACAGCTAGTTCCTATTGGGGCACACATTCAGGGGGAGTTCCATCTAGACTTCTTTGACTTGTCTCTTGCAAATCGTGTTGTTGTCATCATCCACCAAAAAGGGGGAGATTGAAAGGGCATTTCCCTACTTTATGTTTTGGATGATGATGACAACCCTTTGTGGTCTAATCGTGTGTTATATGTTTCAGGTTCTCGATGCTTAGGCTTACATCGGATTGCTATTGCCTCTCGTAGGAAAAGATCAAAGACGTGTCCTCTACGCTTTTATTTTCTTTGGTCGTAGAGTTCCCGTACTATCAAGAGGGAATCCTCATTAGGAAGCTCTGGGGGAATCAGTTCACGTACACTTTCCTCACCCCTCCTTTGTCTTCCTCAGTTATGAGAGAGAGATCCCCCTATCTTTCCTTCGTGTTTTTGCTCTTCCCAGCGGTTGTACCACTCCCTGGAGCGGTTGTACCGCTGGACCTTCACGCTCTCCTACTTTGACCGAGCGGTTGTACCGCTGCCTCCGGGCGGTGGTACCTCCACCTTGCTCAACAAAGGCTAGGACGGTGGTCCGGCCATGCACCGCTCAAGTACCGGTCTCGTCTCTGTTCCGAGGCGGTAGTTGTGCGGTGGTGGCCCGGTTGATCCAGTCGATCCTCGTTGACCGGTACCACCGGTGGTCTGAGCGGTTCTTCCGCTCAGAACTTCGCCGCCCAAGAGCTCAAGGTCATGCGGTTGTTCCGGTATTGCACCGCTCAAGTACCGGTCTCGTCTCTGTTTCGAGGCGGTAGTTGTGCGGTGGCTGGGCGGTTGGTCCGGTCATTCTCTTAAACTGGTACCACCGCCTAGTGTCCCGGTTGTACCGCCTGGTAGGGTTCTGCAGCTACACCGTGTGTCCCGGTTGTACCGGGACAAGGACCGATTGTACCGCTGCGGGGCTGAAAGCGCAGCAACGGCTGGATTTAGAGGGTTGGTATTTAAGAGAGCTTCTCCCACCTACCACTCTCACCTTTGACCTCTCCCACTCCACCATTAATGCACCTCAAGCTCTCTTGCCCGATCTCTCTCTCTAGCCACTCAAACTTGTTGATTTGCTAGGGATTGAAGGAGGAGACCTAGATCTACACTTCCACCAAAGGATTTTTGCTTCCCCCATACTTTCTTGTGTGGATTTTGTTACTCTTGGGTGTTTGAGCACCCTAGACGGTTGAGGTCACCTTGAAGCCATATTCCATTGTGGTGAAGCTTCGTGGTTTTGTTGGGAGCCTCCAATTAAGTTGTGGAGAGAGCCCCAACCTTGTTTGTAAAGGTTCGGTCGCCGCCTTCAAGGGCACCAATAGTGGAATCACGACATCTCGCATTGTGTGAGGGCGTGAGGAGAATACGGTGGCCCTAGTGGCTTCTTGAGGAGCATTGTGCCTCCACACCGCTCCAACGGAGACGTACTTCCTCTCAAAGGGAAGGAACTTCGCCAACACATCCTCGTCTCCACCGTCTCCACTCTTGGTTATCTCGTGCCTTTATTTGAGCAAGCTTATTTGTTTCTTATCTCTTGCTTGCTTGTGTTCCTCTCCTTGTTGCATCATATAGGTTGCTCACCTAGTTGCATATCTAGACAACCTACTTTGATGCAAAGTTTAAATTGTTAAAGAAAAACTAAAATTGTTAGTTGCCTATTCACCCCCCCACCCTCTAGTCAACCATATCGATCCTTTCATTTGTGTTGTGTCCGGGCGTGTCTTCCCTCTTTATTTTCCCTTGTTTATATGTTGTGGTGTGTGTTGTTTTTGCTTTATCTCTTCTCCTCCTGTGCCCCCTGTAATTCTGGTTCACTTGAACCCATCCGGCAAAAGGCTGCGAAGTCTTATAGGCAAATGTATACAATTCAGGTGTGGGAGTTCTCTCCCTCCCCGGTGAAAATTCAAAAAAATGCCTCTTGGTAAGGGGTTTCTTCAACTCCATAGTTCGTCTGGGCTGACGATGCTCACCTTCTTCGGAAACAGCAGAGGATTTGGGCGCTCCATGTCCGTGAGGAAGAAGAAGACATTCCTGGCCTTTTCTGTGATTTCAATTTTGTGAGGGGCTTATTTGTGGTTTGGGTGCGATGGTGTCGTTGCCTGTATCCTTCTTATATTTCCGTACTTGTATGTGTATATGTGCTTTTTCCTTAAGGGCTTGCTAAAAATAAGTCGACAGAGATTTAACGAAGTCTCAGTCAATCTTGTAGCATTTTATCCCATCGTTTGTAACATTTTTTTCTGCCGGTCGCAACATCCTCCTAGCTGGTTGTAGCATGTCGTCCCTCGTCGATCATAGCATGTCATCTCACCGGTTGCAACATCCTCCTTTGACGGTTGTAGCAATTTTATCAGAACGGTTGTAACATATGTTGTCGTTGCTTGCAGTATCGTTGCAACATTTTTGTCGTGGTTTGCAACATTTAGCCATGCCGCTTGCAGCACCACAACTACGATGTCGGTATGTTACTTGCCCGAGATTCGATCGTCGGCATCTCCATACCTAGTTCAATCACGTTACCGGCAAACCTCTTTACTCGTTCCCTAATACATCATCTTGTAACTTACTCCTTAGTCACTTTGTTTGCAAGCTTCTTGTGATGTGTATTATCGAGAGGGCACAAAGATACCTCTCCGATACAACGAGTGACAAACCCCAATCTCGAACCATGCCAACCTGTCATACACCTTCGGAGATACCTGTATAGCATCTTTATGATCACCCAGTTACGTTGTGATGTTTGATAGAACACAAGGAATTTCTCCGGTATCCGGGAGTTGCATGATCTCATGATCGATGGAATATGTATTCGACATGAAGAAAGCAGTAGCAATAAACTGAACAATCATATGCTAAGCTAATGGATGGGTCTTGTCCATCACATCATTTTCCTAATGATGTGACCCCGTTATCAAGTGACAACACATGTCTATGGTTTGGAAATCTTAACCATCTCTTGATCAACGACCTAGTCCAATAGAGGCTTATTAGGGACACGGTATTTGTTTATGTATCCACACATGTATTTAAATTTCTGGTCAATACAATTATAGCATGAATAATAAACCTTTATCACAATTAAGAAAATATAATAATAATAATAATAATCACTTTATTATTGCCTCTAGGGCATATTTCTAACAGTCACTTATTCCAGGTAGGGTCAAGAGCCCATCATTTCGGACCCACATGGGGCCTATCACCAACATAGGTAGGTCCCTGGACCATGCCAACATTCGGATGTACACACGAGGGACTTCACTCGGACAACTCAATGGCACTCGGACGATCACATGTCACTCGGCTGATGGATCAACACTCATAAAAGGGCAAGAGGACATCGTAGGAGCTGCAACGGTCGACAAATTCTAAGTCATCCACTAAATAGAGTTATAGCTACAGTTACCTTTAATTAGCACGTTAATTAGTTTTTACAAGCAGTTTATTTGATGGGCCCAAATTATTACGGTTTAGATCTAATCTTAAAATCCTCAATCAGAAAAAATGCATTTCTCTCAATAGTTTAAAACTAAAAAAATCCGATCTCAATTTTACCTAAAAGCTTCACATCCTGTCTCGGTTGTAAAGACTAGAAAGAAAAAACAATCTCAATTGTACCTAATATCATCACGTCCTTGAACCCAAAAAAAGTAATAAAAAATCCAATCGCAGTTGTACTTGAAAGCTTCACGTCCTTCCACCAAAAAAAGAAGTTTACATTCTCCACGGCCCCTCCCAATATTTAGACTAGAGTGGTGATTTATTTTCCCTCGCCTCCACGATCGTCTACTCAAGGAATTGCCTCAGCCTAAACCCTGATCGAGGTCACCATCGCCGCTTCCATGTGCTGTCAGCTCCTGCCGCAGCTAGCCCAGGCTCGGTGTGCTCCTTGTCATGGTCTCCATCGCCTAACCTCCGTGCGTTCTACACCCTGCAGGCATCTCCTCTCACTCTCTCTCCCTTGCTCCCTCTCTCTCTATATATGGTCTCCAGGAAATGCGCATGGTGTAGCCGGCAACCACGATGTCCGCCGGCGACGAGCTCAGGATCGAGAAAGCCAAGATCTCGACCATGGTCAGGGGCAACTAGCGAAGGAGCTAGCACCTCGCGATGGCTACAATGGACGGAGGCGGCGAATAGTGTTGGGAAGGAGGGATCGCCGGAGCCCGCAGCGACAATGGCGTCGATGGAGGAGTTCCATCGGGCGACAAGTTGACCTCGTGCATGACATGGCTGACCTGGCCGGCTGGCTGTCGCGCGTATTAGCTTCTGCGGGTGCACTGACCGCCGTGTGGGTGCTAGCCTGCGAGGCTGTCACGTGTGCTGGCGTTCGCGGGCGCACTGAACGTGTGCGCGCGTGTGCGATGGCGGTAGGAGGAGGTCCGTGCCGGCATGGATGGGTTTGGGGGCATGGCGGCGCGCTAGACAGGAGGAGTACCACACGATTTTGATTTGGGAGAAAATGCAATTGTTTTTTAGATCCTTTTGGGGCAAACAGAGATGCCCCCTGCATGGGCGGAGCAATGGGTTTTCAATGTCTTTCGACACCTATATAATTCCGCCAACGCCCACACACCACTCAGTTTTTCCACATCATTTCCACATGAAACTTTTTCCATGTTTACTACAAATCATTTATAACCGCATGCATCATTCTGATGCAGAGGCCGGGAGATAACCTCCTTTTCATAAAAAAAAACTGCAAATCATTTGAAACCTCATGCTCAAATTTTAGAACTTTTTGAGTTGGTTTGCTATTATTAAAACATTAACTGATTTTTTGGTTTTTAAAAAGGATAAAAAAAGTCTACGTAGCATGCAAACGAGCTCCGAAAGTGATGAATCTTGGCATGTTGTCTTCAGTGGACCATTGTAGAGCGTGGTAAATATTTGTGAGCATTATAGCAAAAACTTGATACACTTTGTGTATAAACTGAATACTCTCCCACGAAATATCATCATTTCGAATAAAACCACCGCTCACCACACACAACTTCGTTTTTTTAAATCATTTTCACTTTAAACTTTTTCCATGTTTAAAATCGTGTTTTCGGGCTTCGGTTTTAAACATGAAAAACAGCAACTGTGCTTTCGGGCTCCGGTTTTAGACATGAAAAAAGTTTGAAGTGAAAATGATGTAAAAAAATGAGTTGTGTGTGATGGACGATGGTTTTTGTTTGAAACAAGGACAGTGCGGACACGTCATGCCATGGTCATGTGGGAACACAAGGCAGAGAAGGCAGCACCCGAGAAACGGAAAAAAGAGCGAGGCCACAAATCTGCGAGCCGGTTGCCACTTCCACCACGCCATATCCAAAGCTTCCTCCATGTTCATGCCCCACAGTATATAAGTTGGATCGCGTGGCCTCTATATCGTTACCAAGCCGAGCAAGACGGAACCAAGCAGAGCCATCGATCGATTGAAGAAAAGTCGGAGAGCGTGCGTGCAAGAAAGCGTGGGCCGCCGGAGCTGCTAGAGGTATTATCCCCATCTCTGATCGATTATGGACAAGGTGCTGGCCATCTCCATGCCGAGCATGTCGTCGGTAGACATCGCCCCCGGCGCGGGCAGCAGCGGCAGCAGGGCTCGGCTCTGCTGGCGGGGGTCGAAGCTACAGGAGGACGAGCAGACTGGATCAGCTGGGAAACAGGGAAAGCGGGGCGGTCTGCTGGTGGAGGAAGAGCAGCAGCCGGGCAAGGGGAAATCGCAGTCACCGCTGCCGCGGTTCGTGCCAGAGTTTGATGGGATCGACTGCTTTGAGACCATTGTGTGTCATTAATCAGTGAATATCAACCGGCGGGTGTGACTGTTCATTCGTTGCTAACATGTGCTTCTAACTGAAGCAAGACACAGGTTGTCCACAGAGTAAATTGTAACCAAGTTGTTTTATTTTCTGATCTTTTTTTTTTGAAATGAAAGGGGTTTCCCCCGCCCCAACTTTTTATTAAAGCCAAGGCAAACCAACACACACAGACTGTTAAGCAGCGCTCGACAACAGCCAAAGAGTAGTTGTCACAGACTGAAACATGAGCAGGGTTCAAACAACTAACCCTATTATAGTTGGTGCTTTTACCAGCACACAAGTCTCATGAATGGACGCAAAGCCAGTAAAAACATATACACTAGTCGTAGACAACTAGCCATACATGCCCCAGCTAAGGGTCCAGGGTGCTCTTTTATTTTTCAATCAGCGCCAGGCGATCCTGAGCAATTCCCCTCTTCGGTAGTCCGGCAGCTTTAAACAGCGGAGGAGAAGCACACCCTGATTTTCTGAGCACAAGATCTTCCACTGCCTGATCGTTGCCCCCAACAGATTCAAAACACAGCATATATTTCACCATCTTCGCCCCTGAAAAACAAAGTCATTTCGCAAACGCCATAAGCTCCACAAGGTAGCAGTAGTGGATATATTCAGAGCTTCACATTGTTTTCTTTTCCTCCAGAAGGAGGATAACACAGTAAAAGAATTAGGTACATTAATCTTAAAGCAATCAGCTAACAGTTCCCAAACCTGTCTGGCAACAATGCATTCAAAAAACAGATGTTGGATAGTTTCTAATTCCTCACAAAAGACACAAGTCTTATCCTCTACATGTCTACGTTTGGCTAAGTTGTCTCTGGTCAGGCTCTTATTGTAATAAATCAACCAAAGGAAGACATGAAGATTAGGGGGGACTTTAATTTTCCATATATCGTCTCTGATCTCAGAAGTGATCCCTCCAAAGTTAATTAGTTTGTAAAAAGACTTGACCGAATAACTACCAGATGGTTCCAGCCGCCACACAGGCTGATCTGGTGAATCAGATAGAACAACTTGTTTCATTAGATTAATGAGATCACTCCATCTGGATAGAGTTTTTTCATTCACACATCTCCTAAAGGTTAGTTGGAGTTCACCCCCAACCCATACTTGAGCCAGAGTAGCTTCTTGTTGTTGACAGATTTCAAACAAGTCCCAAAAGGCAGTTTTCAGGGAACAATCCCCGAGCCATGTGTCATGCCAAAAGGCAATAGTTTTACCATCTCCAGGGATCCACCTATAAAAGTTCTTAGCTGTAGCCAAAGCCCAGGCTAGACTTTTCATGAATGGGGATCCCATGGTAGTTCTAGTACTAAAAAGGTTTGGGTTATCAATATTGTATTTGTAAGCCAAAATATTTTTCCAGTCACTAGCTCTATTATCAAAAAATCTTTTTCCCTGGGAAGCCAAGAGGGCCATATTAAAATCCCTAAGATTGGGCACCCCCAAACCACCATACTCCTTCCTCCTGGAAATCAGTCCCCAGCTAGCAAGATGATATTTATGAGTATCTCCCACATTCCCCCAGAAAAATGGGACATGTGAGAAGTAATCATGTCAATGGCCCATTTAGGGAATTTAACAATAGACATCAGATAGCTAGGGATACTAGCAATGCAAGTAGTAAGCAGAATCAATTTGCCTCTATAGGAGAGAAATCTCCCCAGCCACCCAGCTATGTTCTTGATAATCCTGTCTATAATGGGTTGTAAGTCTTCTTTTCTAAGTTTTTTAAAGTGCAGAGGCACACCTAAGTACTTAAAGGGAAAAAAACCCAATTGACAACAAAACACCTGAGCAAATTCCTTAGCCATTTGATCAGTTATATTGATAGTATGCAGGTCACTCTTGTGAAAGTTAATTCTCAAACCAGAAAGTTTCTCAAAGCAAGTTAATATCCACTTCAGGTTCTTGGCACATTCAATAGAATTATCAAGAAACAAGATAGTATCGTCAGCATATTGCAGGCTGACCACTCCCCCAGGAATTGCATTAGGCAGAAGCCCACATATCAAGTTATTATTAACAGCTTTCTGCAGCATCTTAGAAAAGACATCAGCCACTAAATTAAACAACAGGGGTGAATGGGGGTCACCTTGTTTTAAACCTTTACCACCAGCAAATTGGGGACCATTGGTGTCATTTATTCTGACCTGGAATGTCCCCTGGTGAATAGTAGACATCACCCACCCTTATTTTCTGATCTGTATAGGCAAATGGACTTGAGTCTGTCGTGATTCCTTTGATAAACTTTTGTTATCTGCATAGTTGAGGAAATAATTGGCCAGGTAGTTAAGGTTTGACGTGGTAAGGATATTCAGAGAAACTAATCAAAAAAGAAGTGAATGCGTGTGAATTGCAACTTGTTAGATGTCCAAACTCCAAGCTCACACTAAACTATGTGGCTAATGCGCCATGTTCATAGTTGGGGTAACATATACTCACGGGAAAACTCGCAAAATTAGCCTAGCATCACTTTTCCTCTTGAAATTGTCTCTCGAACCGGTTACAAGAACGAAATTGCTGCCAAAACAGTGTCTCATTCAAGTAACCGGGAGGCAGCAAGGTATAGTTGAATGGACGACAAGTCGAGTATATGTTTACTGACAGTGAAGAGACAAGCTCGATTGCAGCTAAAGATGCTCAGGCATGCTGTCACCGAGGCAGACCAGTTCCATAATATCGACGAATTCATGAGGTTTGTAGAGACCATGGTGTTAGTTGCCGGACTCCTGAGGCTTGTCGAGACCATGGTGTTAGCTCTGGGCCAATGTATACATTGGATATTGTTACTCTCCCGATGTCTCTGATTCCTAGATGTTCATTGCATCCATCTGATTCTTCTCTCGTCCTCTTCTCCTTTTGTGTGCTCACACCTATTCGTTCGTGTCTTTACATGTGAGATAAATGAAGAAGGAAATATCAAACAATGTGGATGAATTACTGAACCTTGCTATCTGCTCATGCAGTTGTAGACTTAGATATATAGTGAAAGCATTACTCGCACAAGTGAAGGTGGGTGGAGAATTTACTTATATGTTCGCTGCAACAGTAAAAACAGTAAACTTAAGACATAATATTGTAAAACTTCTAATAAACTGCTAACTGCTTGCCTATATTACAAGTCAATATATAACTTCTGCAAAATTGAATGCAAGGATACAGATAGAAGTGTATTACCCCAAGATGCATTACAATACATAAAGTAAAACTAGAGGGAAATAGTTTAGTGCCGAGATGAACCTGATGGGTTGTGGCTGCCATCGCCCTTCTCGCCATTCGCTAGGCGATGGACTGCACGGGGGTGATGGATGGCAGGCAACTAGGGAGAAAAGATGGCCATTAGGCCCATGAATGAGGAATAAAAGTCGCACAACCATTGGGACAAGGTCAGGCATGAGGAGCCCGATTAATCCACTGAGCCACCACTTAAGTTTAGTTGAGTGAACAACTGCTATTTGATTTTATAACTCCGCTCAACCAAATAACATAAAACATTACAAAACACAGTATGAGGACAGGCAATCGTATATCCATCTACATGATGACATTTTACATATGCAAACATTGATCTAATTGAAGGACCCATCAATGATAACTATAAACTTGTATTCTTGTGTAATCCTAACTTCTGCGTCACGAGAAAGAAAAAAAAAATCATCCTTTTTGGCCTGTAAATGAACATACAAAAGACAAGAGAGCTAATCGAATCCTATTCATTGGACAACCAGAACCTTTCTTCCGGAACCTACTGCAAACAGCTAGATAGACAACTCGACGTGTTATCCTCTATTGGCTGCAAGAAGACGAAGAAGGCGAAGAAGAATCCAGTTAATGCATGTTATATGATTTCTTTTTGGGTCATGCAATAAGTCTTGTAATGCTATGAATATTTTTCACAGAGTTAAGTCTAAGCTTGCCACTGGTGAAACATAGACCACCTGTAGATGATTTTTCTCAAAGGGCTGTTATCTTTGGTGTCCACAGATACATCATGGGAGGCGTATCAGCGGTAATGGAAATATCACACTGCACTCGATTCATTTAGTAAGGGTCGCTGGCCGGATCACTTTCCCTCGCGGTGATGAACACACCGGACACACAGGGGGAGAGGAGGTTCTTTTGCGACGCGTACTGCTGCGTCTTTCCTTTTTCTTTTACTGACGCATTCTGCTGCGTCTTTTTTGTTTCTTCTCTTTATTAGTCTTTCGGCAACACGCACAACCGAAACGTGGCTGATTACATCACTGAGTCACCCATGATCCTATTACCCATGCCCTCACACGGAAGATCGATCGGAGGCTGACCAAGACAACTACGACTCAATGTAATCCTGTGCGTGCACATACACGTGACAGGTTCTATTTTATTTGCAACAGACAACCTACAAACTGAAAAGCTAAAACATACAACCAGGAAACGAGTAATGATTACATAACAAGATTAGAACTACCAGTTTCTCTCCCGATGTCTCTTATTCCCATATGTCTTTGCATTCATTCAGTTCTTGTTGTTAGAATAAATTCGAGGCACTCCGTTGATCATCCGAGTACCAAGCAATCCACACGAATATGACACCGAGATTTATTAACGAGGTTCACCGATATGGCTACATCCCCGGGGCTTGACTACGGGCGCTCCTCCCCGTGACGCCGCTACAATACCGCACCCGGTCGCCCTGGACACTGGCACATGCCGCCGGCTTCCCCTGCGTTCCGGTGCTATTATGTTCGCATAGGTCACATCGTGTGTCTACCCCCGCTATATAAGAAAGGCCTAGGATACAAGTGTCCTACTTGAACACGACTCCATATCCTATCTAAACACAATACAACTACAAGTCCAACTATAACCTACCTTGTACACTATATTCGACAAAACTCTAACAAACTCCACCTTGGCGAATATTCTTCACCTCCTTGAATTCGTCAATGTGTCAAAC